CAAATGTATTCATTAGCTCATCTGTCCCACATCAACTTTTACCATAATACACCAACAAAATAATGAATTCATTGAGCTCATCTGTCTGACATCAAATTTTACCTCCAGGTGGTTGTGTATTTGCAGCTAGCATGCTGGGATATGAATAACCTTGACCAAATTTGACTAACATGGGATCTCAATTATGATAAGACTATTAACCTTTTACTACCGATGAAGGGAAGGTGTGAACGTTTCAAGTACTGTAGTACTGAACAAAGTATTGATAGTATTGTATTGAAGTACTTCACCAATCGAATTCCTTAAATTTATGCAACAAGCTCTCTGATTGGCAGAGCCAAGTCTAGATCGATTGTGGGTGGAGCCAGGTGAAAAAATACTGTGCAGACATCGGCATTTTACAAACACTCGACTGTCGCGAGAGGTTAATTGGAAGAGTCCAAGTCACAGGTGGCTTCAGATCAGACCTAATTGGGTTGTCCCATTTGTTTCGTTCTACACCCAATGTACTTTGCTTTTCCATCGATGGTACAACGAGAAAACGAAAGTTACTCAGTACTAAACTAATTTATGTACAAAATATATATCAACAGGTTAGATCACTGGGACCGGAGAATTCATAACATCTTAACAGTGAATGTAGTCACATAGTCATTCTGTACTAGTTTTATTTATTTATTTATTTTTTTGAAAGGGGGGGGGGGGAGGGTTGGCTCAAAATATTTCGGTTTAAGCCCAAGCTCTATTATATGTAACAAAGAATTACGAATTACCTGGGACCTCCTGATATATGCCGATAATTCATACTGCATTAAAAAATAAAGGAATTCTGTGGTCCCATATATTTTTTATTTTATTTTTTATCTTTCCATCGAAAATTATACATATCCGCAACATGTGAAAAAACTTTGAAGTTGGTTGGGCGGAATATCTAGAGCATTTACTACTGCAAGTTCCAGAAATTCTGACACAAGTCGGGTATATTTGCCCGAAGCCTCTGTCTCATGACATTGAATACATATTCAGTTACGTTGTATTCCGGGGAATAAGACGGCTGAAAAACCAGGGACACGCCATATTCTTTCAGCATATTTCTTAAAATGCGCTCTCCCTGTCTATGGTGATGGAATCCACAATTATCCATCACAACCACATCGCCTTGTACAAAAACAGGATTCCCCATATCGTTCGTATCGGATATAATTTCGTCGAAGAAAATTTTGCGTACTGTTGCCGTCGTCGGACATTTTTCCAGCGATTACTTAGTACTTGTTATGTAACTGATAGTGTACATTAACTCCACCTACCGGAACAAATTGGGTGTCAGATCAACTATTCAGGTTGTCTAAACTCCGCCCCCGACCAATCACAGAGGTCGTTGTATACTTGACTCGATTATTTGAATACTTCAATACAATAGTATCAATACTTTGTTCAATACTATAGTAAGTGTGTCGTTCACACCTTCCCTTCATCGGTAGTAATTATTGATTTTGACAGATTTCTTTTGAATGATAAGTCATATATAGACCGGGTGTTACTTAATAATGGATTGTTGGTATGCATGCCGGAATGTAGAGACCAATGAAAGATCTAGAGTCATACATTTTGAAAGTCACTGATCCTGACAATGAAATGTGTTTAAAAAATCTTCTGAATGAAAAAATAGATGCCATCCAGTCTGTTAAGTGATTAAATATATACCAGGTATTGGTATTTTGGCCAATAGCACCATCAGATTTAATACATTGTATATACTTATACGCTGTGAATGTTAGCTAATTATCACCAGTTTAAATAACAAAAAAGTGGTCACCTGTGAACACTACAAAAACAGACCATTAATAATTACACCTGGCGATTAAATGTACTGCTTTGTCGTCGCACCTGTTTTGTTTTTTTTTCGGAAAAGGTGGGGGGGGGGCTTAATTGCGAATACCCCCCTATTCCTGGCAAATTTTAAAAAGTGGTGGGGGGCTTTTTTGCGGGAGGGGGCTTATTTGCGGTGAAATATGGTAGTATAATGAGGATGGGAGCCGAGGCAGTGCTAATTTAACAAGTTCTACATGTTCATTCACATCAACATGGGTATTAAATTCTAACTGCAATATACAACACTTGATAGCTTGATTGGTTGATCATCAGACTAGTTATTAAGATAAAGCAGAAGTGACAGGTTTAAATAATGACCTTATTTACAGAGACAGATTTTTAAGTTCTACTATTGTCAATTATGTGATTCACATTTCTTATTTACTCAATCTTTGCCAAATCTATTCAGAATTTATGAAGACATGAATTACATAACACAGATTACATCACACACACAAGGCATAAAACAAAGACAAAATTACAATTATATAAATAATAACTCAAACAGATCAAATTTACATCATTTTATTTTGTTTGTTAACAGTGAAATAATGAAATTGACCCTAGACTTTATCACGGAAGCATAATAAAACCTTCTATTATGTGTTCCTGTTGTAATTTCCTAAAAAAGGATAATGCTAAGGAAGTGACTACATACACAAGCTGCTTAAACTGGATGGGGGAGAAAAGAGGAAAAATAATTGCCATGTCAGAGTGGTTGTTTTTAAGTCCTACTTGAGAGCTTTCTGAATCGTGTTTAAATTTGTTCCTCCCGGAAACGAGACATCACGAACTCGCTGTAAGTACTTGTATGAGTAACCAACACTGTTAACTACATTATAATTAATGGGGAAATATATAAGCAGTACTGAACAGCAACTTAGTCTTTAAAACTAAATAATCAATTTGATATGATAAAAGTGTAAAAGATATTGTTTTATAACAAATTTGGAAGCTCTTTTACAACCAAATTTATCTGTATAACTGATGATGTGTAGCAAAAAACGTGCGGGGGGGGCATATATGATAAGATTTTTTGTCCAAAAAATGCTGGTTGTTGAATTTTATCTTGATAGTGGTAAGTATATCGGCAATTGAAAGCAGTAAATAAATTTCTATTGCAACCTTTATCATTTTATTTCACTTTCTGATGCCAATGCTAATGCTCAGAGCCATTAGTAAAATGCTGAGTGTAAATGGATCTTCCTACCTTATTTGATAATACAATATGTATTTATAAATTGCTTACTATATAACTTTCACTTCTCAGTAGGTAATCTCTTTTACACATCAACAGTAACCCCTGTGTTATTAGCCTGCAATCATCAGAGATGGTGGGCTGTTCGAATTGCCCTATGATCTGTGGTATCTCTATTTCTTGGGAATTGCAGGATGAATCTGTCTCATATTGTATCTAAAGGTTACACTAGGTCCCTAGTTGTGCTCTTTTAATTTTGGGACTGATCCGAAAAACTAACTTGCTGACAGGTGGCAATCTTGGGTTTGGACAATGAAAGGTTGTTATCTCTATTTTATTAGGAACACTGGATGGATTTTCCCCAAATTTTAATGTAGGTTCCCCAAGTCCATAAATGTATCCTTTTGATTTTGAGATGCATATTGACCGTAACCATTACAGAATGATAAATCAAACAAACAAACTCTTTATTTGATAATCTATAACAAGCTACTGTTTTCTGATCTGTTGTACATATAGCATGTCAATATGTCCTATATGACCATTTGATATTTAGAAATCATTACCTATTCATTGAACTGATTATTAGAAGTAACTTATGAAAAGGTCATACTGTTGTAGTATGTACCATAATTTGCTATATGTAAGATAAATGTGAAAATGTGGTTGTGTTGCTACATGTGCATACATAGGCCTGGGTTAGATCAGTCAAACTCTGTATATAGACTGTCCAATGGCTCAGGTTATAGATATAAGAAAGTTTGGTTTCATATCAAAAGAAACAATGGACATTGGAAGGTTTGGGTTCATAACTTTGGTTGCTATGAATATTGAAAGGTTTGGGTTCATAACTTTGGTTGCTATGAATATTGGAAGGTTTGGGTTCATAAGTTAGGTTGCTATGAATATTGGAAGGTTTGGGTTCATAACTTTGGTTGCTATGAATATTGGAAGGTTTGGGTTCATAACTTTGGTTGCTATGAATATTGGAAGGTTTGGTTACATAACTTTGGTTGTGATAGATATTGAAAGGTTTGGGTTCATAACTTTGGTTGCTATGAATATTGAAAGGTTTGCGTTTATAACTTTGGTTGCTATGAATATTGGAAGGTTTGAGTTCATAACTTTGGTTGCTATGAATATTGGAAGGTTTGAGTTCATAAGTTAGGTTGCTATGGATATTGGAAGGTTTGGGTTTTATATCTTTGGCAGGTATAGATATTTAAAGGTTTGGTTTCATAACTTTAGGTGTGCATGCATGGCAACTGATATGGGGCAGATTGAGTTCATATCTTGGGTTCATAATTTATTTTAGCCATGGTTATTTATAATTTGTGTTCATATTTTAACTAGGAGATGTTGGAAGGTATGGGGTCATGTTTAGTCAGGGATATTGGAAGTATGTGTTTGTTTTTAGCCAGGGGTATCGCAAGGTTTGGGTTCATGTTTTAGTCTGTAATGTCAGAGTATCCTTAACAGAGTTGATGAATTGGTCTGGGTTTTTAAACCTTAACTAGCTGCCATGTTCTTCTCCAGGTCTTCTTTCACATAGACATATTCTATGTATTAACGGACTGTTTGTGCCTGGAGTGACAAGATACAGATGTTCAAATGTGGCCTTGAAGCTCCTGTAAATTGTTCAGCTGGATAAATTTGAAAACTTCAACAAGGAATTTCAGCTTATTTCTATCATTGAAAAAAATTGGAAAAAAGCTCTGGAACATTTTAATTTTAATTCTTGATAAGTCATCATATAATTTCCACGATTATACCTAACCCGGGTAATTGGTGTATGATGAGTTGAATACATTGTGTTTACTCGAGTGGTTCCCCTGAATTGTAGATAAACACTAAATTGCTGTCTAGCCTTCTTATCTCCCAGATAGGGATGTTGACCAGCTGAATGATAATTGTAATTATTTGTTGTCAGGTTCCGCCCTGCCTGTGATACGGCCCAAAGAACAGATATGAAAATGGATCCTAGGTTGATAAATAAGCAGGTAAGAACACAGCACATGAATCTTGTGTATTATATTCTACAGGCTACAAGCATCCATATACTGTAAAAAAAACATCCATTTTTGTGGGAATTTTCTTTACCCACAAATTCTTGTAGCCATGAAATGATAAACAGTTGAAAATTAACATGAACTACTACTTATGTATTTCCTACATACTATATTTATTCACAAAATTAAGTGCCACCAAAAAAGTAATGGTCAGAAAAAAAAACCCACCCATGATATTTCAGTAATGGAGAATATGAGAATTCTGCAGGCTGATATTGAAAATCAGTGATTTAATCAATCACATGATATGATGGAAAGTGGCTTTATATCATTTAGTGGAACTAATAAATACATAATTTTGAAAACTTAAAAATATATACTTAATATACATATATGGAAATCCATCTACAGTATTTGAAGTCTTTACCACTTTCCTTTGCCCACATTGTTTTTTAAAGATTAAACACATGAAAAACCAATCTAATGCAAGTGGACCAGGTCCAGGACCTATTAGTAAGACTTCTTTAAGTGTTGGCAAAGTTTCTTGTTCTGTGGAAGAGCTTAACTACTTGATATCATTAGAAATTTCCTGACCAGTTCAAGTACATGTTACTGATTATCAAAGCTTTGCAATAAGGACGGAAAACTCTCACATCCTGTACTGATAATCTGTACATTGCCACATGGCAAATAATACATTGATTAGTTGTCTGTGATACTGGTTGTTTTTACAGATATGATTCTATAAGATCGTCGTGGTAACACATTCTGTATTGTATTGTCACTTAGCTAGTAAATAAATATAAATTTTAACGGTGCACAGCTAAGCTCTGAACCAGTTAATATATTTGCTCATCAAATGCAAGATACGTGTATATCAGTCAGGATTAAAAAGTATAGTAATCCAATTGCATTCATAACCTTATAAATGCAATTTGTTATGATTATTTTCATGCACACATAGTGACTCTTAGTGGAAATATACACATATTTATATGTCGATTATTTTCAGAAGAAAGATCAGTATAGTGAAAACTCGCTATTAAGACCACTTTGGGGACTGGACAAAAGTGGTCTTAATAGCGAGGTGGTCTTAATAATGAGGTGGATCAGATTGACCACAAAGAACCGTAACTCTGTTTAAAATAAAGAGTATATATATCATTAAGTAATGTACATGTATATTATTCAACAATAATAACTAATAATAATAAACTAAAATGTTGAATTTTATGAAATGCATGTAAAAAAAAAACAAAATTGCTGAATTGACAGAAGAATAATTATGTATATATTCCTTAGTTTATATCATAATATACATGTATATTTACTACTGTAAACATTGAATAAAAGGAAACAAACAATCCATTTTAAGTTCAATTGGAATTTAACGTTAATTTTGCAACTATTTCACCTAAATTTATGAACACATTTACTCAGTATTTGTAACAACTTTAATGAAGTCACTTTAAAGTCTTTCAACGCTTCATTTTTCAATTAAATTCACAAACACGTTATCTTTATCAGTGTATCACTCAGCACAACACTTAAAAAAAAAAGAGTCCAGTGCACAATATTGCGAAGAGCTACGGATCTGGACAGCCTCCTCTTTTATACATCCTTTTTAACGATCGCGATAGCTCGTTTTGTTTCTGTGGTTTCGTCATTGCTTGATTAAGTTCATCGGAGATTTGTGACAGAGAAAATGTGTCGTAAAAAAATGGAACACATACACGTTTTTTATTGTTCAAACGATATTGAGAGTATAACATTGCTACAAAAAAAGTTAAAAACCCTCAACAAAGTGTGGGCGTGGAAGCCAAGGAATATCGGCCGAAACGACTACATAATTCACTTTTGGGTATGCAGGGCTTCTAAGGTGTTTAACAGCATACCTACCGATCTATCAATATATAATTAACAAACAACAGATCACTATTAAAACGTGTCTAGCACGCGGTTTCGGATGGGTAGGCCAAGTTAATCCAATAATGATGTTTACTTCGTTTAACGCCACCTGGTGACAGGGTCGGTAACCCATGACGAAAACAATGGTCGTGAACGACACCCATGTTCGCGGTTCACTGCCCACCAGGTAAACTTTAATCACTGGTCAGACCATGGTCGTAATTGTGAGGTCAATTATCCTTAATAAGTGGTCGTTGGGACTGTAAGAAGTGGTCGTGAAACGGAATAGCAGGGTGGTCGTAATACTGAAGCAACCAATACAAAGATTTATAGTGGAAAAGAAACGAGACTGAAAAAAAGTGCCCGTAATAGCGGGGTGGTCGTAATTTTGAGGTGGTCGTTAGGTGAGGTTTCACTGTATATCCTAAATCATGTTAAGGGTATTTCATAAATGTGGTCCTTTTTCATATCAAATAGGGTTCTTCTGTATATTTTGAATGACGTTCATAAAAATAATTTGGGTCTTGTAATTTCCATATTTCAACAGGCTATGGGGAGGGCTTTGAAGCAAACTATGATATTGTCCAGTAGTAAGCTCACCCCCTTACTCAGCGGTGGTGGTTTAGTTCACTACACTTTGTGTGGGCTAATTGTGGTATTATTAAAGAGGGATTGTGTTGGTACATAAGGCTTGAATTTAACTTGTATGTATTACAGCACTGCATTCCCACAGAAGCATGGAGACCAGGACAAGAAGTAGTGGCTTCATACAACTTTCAGGGATCATCAGCCGAGGATTTGCCATTTAACAAAGGCGATGTACTTACAATAGTCCAAACAACTAGGGTAATTTGCACGAAAGTCGTAGAAACCATATATCCTGGACTGTTATATTGGAGTTTTATTATATGATGGCAGAATAATATACACACAGCTGATACAGATCAGAAGAGTCATCAGTCTAATTGTGTCGAGTCATATTCACTTTTGTCGTTTTTTAGTTCTATTCTTGTTGCTAATTTCCAGAATGGCTTTGGATTTTGTCTGGTGATAACTTTCATAGATCCCCCAATTAAATGTATCAAAAATGAATATTAATCTTAATCATAAACAAAGTCATGTAGATATTCTATCACAAATCTGCCCCTATAATATAGAGTTTTATTCTTACACATGTGAAATATGACTTAGCAGACCTGTGATTGGCTGGACGTTTTCATTGTTTCCATTGTAACGAGATAACTTTCATCATGCATTGTAGCTTGATCAAAGAAAAAGACATTTTGTGAGAACATCACCAATTTAGATTTTTAGGTCGCCTGAGCCGAAGGGGTGTAAAAGGGGCCATATGTAAAAACCTTCTTTAAATGACTTCTTCTCAAGAACCATTGGATGGATTTTGACCAAACTTGGCACAAAGCATCCCCATGGGAAGCTGCTTCAAGTTTGAAAAGAAAAAGGGTGTGGCCCTCATAGGGGCTGCAGGAGGGGGTAAAATTAGGTAAATCTTTAAAAATCTTCTTCTCATGAACCAGCTGTCAGATTAAAATCATATTTAATATTTAGGGTCCTTATGGCATGATCTACAAAATTTGCGAATAAAAAAAAAATTGGGTCAAAAACAGCCCCACTAGGGGGCACTAAAAAGGGTCAAAAATTCAACTTTGACCAATTTCAATCAAATTTGGTAGAAAGCATCCCGAAGTGAAGAACATATGAAATCATGTTGAAAAAAGTGATTATGTCCTCTTTGGGGCCCATAAGGGGTGTAAAAGGGGCCATATGTTAAAACCTTCTTTAAATGACTTCTTTTCAAGAACCATAGGATGGATTTTGACCAAACTTGGCACAAAGCATCCCCATGGGAAGCCACTTCAAGTTTACAAAGAAAAAGGGCGTGCCCCAATAGGGGCCCCAGGAGGGGGAAAAAGGGAAACTTGATACGAATGTTCTACACAAGGTCCTGGCAAGTGTTTTAACTTTTTGGGGCAATTCAAAATCCAAGATGGCCACCCTGGCCTCTGTTTGGCTAAGACATTATGGACTTCCTCTCAAGAACCATTGGGTGGGTCATGTTCAAACTTGGTAAAGATGTTTTACACATAGTCCTGCACAAGTGTTGTTACATTTTTGCAACATTTTAAAATCCCCAGATTATTGACATATATTCCTCAGGTGACTGTTAAGGCCCCTTGGGCCTTTTGTTATCTGTCTTGTAAATGCTGTTTTCATAAATGCTTGCCAAAAGGATCTAAATTATATGAAAAACAGAATCTTACATTTGTTTCCATTTCTATGAGTTTTATCAATCTTCATTTCATTTTCCTGGGCCTCAAACTTGTTTCATGAATTTCATATTAACAGATTTTCATCTGAGATCCTTTATATTATGTGTGGTATAATGTTAATGATGTGTCTCTGTTGTCTCCCCTACAGGATGCTAATTGGTATAAGGGACGTAATGGTGCTGGTCGTGAGGGGATGGTCCCTGCTACCTATGTCCAGAGACGTAGAGAGGTGCCCCTGCATGCAATGCCGTGAGTAATCAGTATCATAAACATATAGATCTATTAAACAAAACACGTCAAATATTTTTTTATAATTTTTCTTCTACGAGCTAATTGATAACTTTGTTGTATTAAAAACTCTCTGACAAATCTACATTTTAAGCACTGTATAAAGGTTATCTTTGCAGGTGTTTTGTTTTGCTGATTCCTTTCTAAATCAGGAATTTCTTTTTTAATAAATTTTTAGTTCAATTTCAATGATTCAAACTTATGAATGCCTAGATTATTGGTCGTGATGACAAGCTTCTGTAAGTAATCTTCATTTGAAAAGATAACAAACAACTAACTGTAATTACTTATCAAACAAACAACTTATGGGGCATGCATCACCAGTCATACTAGTTGTCAGACATAAAAAAATTGTTACTGGAATTAATCAGTAATTTACATAGCATTAAAGTGTGATCGCATACACAGAAGTTATAATTAAAAGTTTATATCATCAATAATAGTAACTCATGCCACATTATCATTTTTTAGCAATCATCTATTATCTTCCTGCAAAAATAACCAGCTTTACAATTGTCATCAATACAATTCAGAAAAAATATCACTCTTTGTAGATTATTGGTAGTAACACAAACAGGTGCTTTGCCTACTTTTGCTTCCTTTGCTTTAGCCTCCAACAAATGATGTGATTATCCTATTTTGATGCATGCAGGAATTCAGCTGACAGATTATCTGTCTGGGTATACCTGAATTTTGACATAGTAACTATTTGTCTTACAGATTATTCCGACTTTGTATACCAGGGTTTTAACAGGGACTAATTTTGTCTTACAGATTATCTGACTTTGTATACCAGGGTTTTAACAGGGACTAATTTTGTCTTACAAATTATCTGACTTTGTATACCAGGGTTTTAACAGGGACTAATTTTGTCCTACAGATTATTCCGACTTTGTATACCAGGGTTTTAACAGGGACTAATTTTGTCCTACAGATTATCTGACTTTGTATACCAGGGTTTTAACAGGGACTAATTTTGTCCTACAGATTATCTGACTTTGTATACCAGGGTTTTAACAGGGACTAATTTTGTCCTACAGATTATCTGACTTTGTATACCAGGGTTTTAACAGGGACTAATTTTGTCCTACAGATTATCTGACTTTGTATACCAGGGTTTTAACGGGGACTAATTTTGTCCTACAGATTATCTGACTTTGTATACCAGGGTTTTAACAGGGACTAATTTTGTCCTACAGATTATCTGACTTTGTATACCAGGGTTTTAACAGGGACTAATTTTGTCCTACAGATTATCTGACTTTGTATACCAGGGTTTTAACAGGGACTAATTTTGTCTTACAAATTATCTGACTTTGTATACCAGGGTTTTAACAGGGACTAATTTTGTCCTACAGATTATCTGACTTTGTATACCAGGGTTTTAACAGGGACTAATTTTGTCTTACAAATTATCTGACTTTGTATACCAGGGTTTTAACAGGGACTAATTTTGTCCTACAGATTATCTGACTTTGTATACCAGGGTTTTAACAGGGACTAATTTTGTCTTACAAATTATCTGACTTTGTATACCAGGGTTTTAACAGGGACTAATTTTGTCTTACAAATTATCTGACTTTGTATACCAGGGTTTTAACAGGGACTAATTTTGTCCTACAGATTATCTGACTTTGTATACCAGGGTTTTAACAGGGACTAATTTTGTCCTACAGATTATTCCGACTTTGTATACCAGGGTTTTAACAGGGACTAATTTTGTCCTACAGATTATCTGACTTTGTATACCAGGGTTTTAACAGGGACTAATTTTGTCCTACAGATTATCTGACTTTGTATACCAGGGTTTTAACAGGGACTAATTTTGTCCTACAGATTATCTGACTTTGTATACCAGGGTTTTAACAGGGACTAATTTTGTCCTACAGATTATCTGACTTTGTATACCAGGGTTTTAACAGGGACTAATTTTGTCCTACAGATTATCTTACTTTGTATACCAGGGTTTTAACAGGGACTAATTTTGTCCTACAGATTATCTGACTTTGTATACCAGGGTTTTAACAGGGACTAATTTTGTCCTACAGGTTATCTTACTTTGTATACCAGGGTTTTAACAGGGACTAATTTTGTCCTACAGATTATTCCGACTTTGTATACCAGGGTTTTAACAGGGACTAATTTTGTCCTACAGATTATCTGACTTTGTATACCAGGGTTTTAACAGGGACTAATTTTGTCCTACAGATTATTCCGACTTTGTATACCAGGGTTTTAACAGGGACTAATTTTGTCCTACAGATTATCTGACTTTGTATACCATGGTTTTAACAGGGACTAATTTTGTCCTACAGATTATTCCGACTTTGTATACCAGGGTTTTAACAGGGACTAATTTTGTCCTACAGATTATCTGACTTTGTATACCAGGGTTTTAACAGGGACTAATTTTGTCCTACAGATTATCTGACTTTGTATACCAGGGTTTTAACAGGGACTAATTTTGTCCTACAGATTATCTGACTTTGTATACCAGGGTTTTAACAGGGACTAATTTTGTCTTACAAATTATCTGACTTTGTATACCAGGGTTTTAACAGGGACTAATTTTGTCCTACAGATTATCTGACTTTGTATACCAGGGTTTTAACAGGGACTAATTTTGTCCTACAAATTATCTGACTTTGTATACCAGGGTTTTAACAGGGACTAATTTTGTCTTACAAATTATCTGACTTTGTATACCAGGGTTTTAACAGGGACTAATTTTGTCCTACAGATTATCTGACTTTGTATACCAGGGTTTTAACAGGGACTAATTTTGTCCTACTTATTATCTGACTTTGTATACCAGGGTTTTAACAGGGACTAATTTTGTCTTACAAATTATCTGACTTTGTATACCAGGGTTTTAACAGGGACTAATTTTGTCCTACAGATTATCTGACTTTGTATACCAGGGTTTTAACAGGGACTAATTTTGTCTTACAAATTATCTGACTTTGTATACCAGGGTTTTAACAGGGACTAATTTTGTCCTACAGATTATCTGACTTTGTATACCAGGGTTTTAACAGGGACTAATTTTGTCTTACAAATTATCTGACTTTGTATACCAGGGTTTTAACAGGGACTAATTTTGTCCTACAGATTATCTGACTTTGTATACCAGGGTTTTAACAGGGACTAATTTTGTCTTACAAATTATCTGACTTTGTATACCAGGGTTTTAACAGGGACTAATTTTGTCTTACAAATTATCTGACTTTGTATACCAGGGTTTTAACAGGGACTAATTTTGTCCTACAGATTATCTGACTTTGTATACCAGGGTTTTAGCAGGGACTAATTTTGTCCTACAGGTTATCTTACTTTGTATACCAGGGTTTTAACAGGGACTAATTTTGTCCTACAGATTATCTGACTTTGTATACCAGGGTTTTAACAGGGACTAATTTTGTCCTACAGGTTATCTTACTTTGTATACCAGGGTTTTAACAGGGACTAATTTTGTCCTACAGATTATCTGACTTTGTATACCAGGGTTTTAACAGGGACTAATTTTGTCCTACAGATTATCTGACTTTGTATACCAGGGTTTTAACAGGGACTAATTTTGTCCTACAGATTATCTGACTTTGTATACCAGGGTTTTAACAGGGACTAATTTTGTCCTACAGATTATCTGACTTTGTATACCAGGGTTTTAACAGGGACTAATTTTGTCTTACAAATTATCTGACTTTGTATACCAGGGTTTTAACAGGGACTAATTTTGTGCTACAGATTATTCCAACTTTGTATACCAGGGTTTTGACAGTGACTACCCTATTTTCTAGATTATAAGCCACAGCTTTTTTCCAGTGCGTCTTACATGTGGTCGAAAAAAAAATTGGCAGAATGAAATGAAAAAATAAAAAAAAAAAAAAAACATGTTGTCTCAACTTTCGTTCTGGACTGTTATGTATTATGAAACAGCCATTTTGTTGTTGTGTATCACATGCATTATTGACCTGCGTGACCTCACACCCAGATAATTTTGGTTGCTGTAAAATGTCGCGCTTCCAGAAAGACAGAAAAATAGTGATTTAAACCAAGGATACCAGTATAGCTGTACAAGACTTCCTTGTTTTGCAAGTACCTGTCTATCACATGTTTGTGTCTAAAACAGATCGTCTAGAACCGTCATTTGCAACGGTATACAGGATGATTTTAAGATTGAAATAAAAATAACATTCTCGTTGATTTAATTTATCAAAACTTTTAATATGACTCACAATAATATCTTCTGAACTTTCATGGTTGCTTCAGAAGCCATAGCAGAAGTTTACAATAGCCCCTTGCATCCTGGGATTGATAGGTCACAGGGTCAAATTCTATAATGACCACCAAACTTGTTTAGAATATGAATGGCCATGTGTAACTTACAAGAAATAATATGTCAGCATGCAAGGAACTAAACACATATGTAAAATAAAGGATTATCTATGTATGGTTCATTTTCAAACTTATATTAAATGTTTCCTCAATGAGCTTGATAAACTGACTTCCGTTGACTGTTATATCAACAAACATTTTTCACCATAACTGTTACCACATCATAAGAAAGGGTGCAGCTTAGATTCTGATGTAGCTATTATGTGTATCAGATCGAAACATCATAAAAAATTGGCTCTCCGGCAGTGCTGTTTATAACTCGGAAATTTCATGGGGTGTATATTTTCTCTGACAAATTATCTGGTTTTTCATAGTGACTGTTTTGTCAGACTGATTATCTGTCTCGGTATACCTAGGTTTTGACAGGGACTATTTTGTCCTACAGATTATCTGTCTTGGTATACCTGGGTTTTGATAGTGACTATTTTGTCAGACAGATTATCTGTGTGGGTATACCTTGGGTTGGACAAAGTGACTGTATAAATTGCTGTGTTGTGACAAGAATTTTACTGTACAAACTTGTAAAATTGATTTTAAAATTTGGATATCAGTATAAACTACATCAGTCTTTAGAATTTGTAACATTTACAATTTCAGTAATTCTGTTGTATCTCTGTCCCAGAAACACTGATGGTATTTGACTTTCTACCAGTCTATGATTTGACTATAGGCTGTGTCTTTGACTTTAATGGTCTAATATTTCTTTGACTGACAGCTTCATTGCTGTAACACTGTGGTAATGTAAATACTTTTCCAGCTGGTTCCACGGCAGTATCTCTCGAGAGCAGGCAGAGTGTCTCTTACAGGACATGGAAGATGGTGTGTTCCTTGTGCGAGACAGTGTCCATTACCGTGGCGATTTTACACTTTCAGTTTCATTTGATAACAAAGTTGATCATTACCGCATTTTGGCTCACAACAACAAACTGGAGGTGGATGGTGGGGACTGTTGTTTTGATAACTTATTTGAACTGGTTGAGGTATGTTCCAGAGCAAACCCTCCACTGGTCTCCTCCCTTCAGTGCTGCCCTCTTCTGTGATTTGTTGCATTGGTTGCTATGCCAACAACCTATAGTCACTGCTTGCTGCTGTTATGCCAACCTAGGCCTTGCATATTTTAAGGGAGGTTTTGTAAAAATAGATTATGGATGATCAATGATTTTCAGAAAAACCCTCATTAACTTTTTATTTTTGCATTTTCTTCAGATTTAAACTTTGATACAGTTTGAGGAACAGACAGCCATAACTTGCCAGTAATTTGTTGAGTTTTTGAATATTAATGTTACTGATCATTGATTTCAAATTGCTGTCTTTTTCTCACTTTCTGTTGTCATGTCTTAGATCAATTTCTTGTATCTTCTTCTGAAATTATCATTCAATTTAACTACTGTCAACATTTAAATCTTTATTAGTATTAATTTGTTTGAAAAAGAAGTAATTATAGATATACAAATCAATCACCAGTTGAAAGAAAATTAATATTGTTTTTGAAAAATGATAAGGAAAAAATGACAATCAGAGAGGAAGAAATTGATGTTGGTCTGAGAAGCCTATATACTGCTGATAAGCATAATGTAGTGTTTGGTATTGTAGTCTAGTGGTTCTATATGCTGGTTCTTATAAACTTGTGAAATATGTATGACTGTTTTCTTATCTGTATTACTGGTGCCTGAAATATCAACCAATCTGTAACAGTAACAGGAATCTACCGTAAGATTAAGGGTAGCCTGAGTTTAGTAGAAAGGGAATTAAATTGTAATGTGACTTTTAACCATTTATAACCAGTAATGAATAATTGTGAGGTGTGATAAGCAAAGCAGTCATGATATGGTTTAAGTATGGTTTAACTCTGGATTATAGTCACATGTGCATGTCATTCAAAAGGTTTTTGAATATCACACCAACATAATTATTTAAACATGATACTCTGTTCATAGGGAGTTTTACGGATAGTTTTCTTTCAGTAAGATGGAGATTTTTGATAAGGAAGATGCTGTGGAACATTTTGGGATTATAATAGGCCTGTCATATATTGACAACTTTGCCAGTGTATGTCGACATATGAAAATTTGGTTAATGGACTGGTGTACATGGAATAAGTATTATAAGTTTTGTAAAATTATCAGTACACTGGTATGAGCTAAAGTATTGTAAGGTCTTCCAAATATTTTGAGCATGCACACAACTTTTCAATGTATGCTAGCATATGGCTCGTGTTTCCTATATGCAGGCAGGAGTTGTAACTAGGCTATATGAATCGATCACACACTTAAAAGTTATGCATAAGATGACATACATCCAGATAATGTATACTGTACCCTTATTTCTAACCCATGGGTAACGAATGCATGTTGCTGGCTCATTTGATTTTGGAGACAAGGAACTCATTTGACTCTAGTGATAGGGAACTCATTTGACTCTAGTGATGGGGAACTCATTTGACCTTAGTGATAGGGAACTTATTTGATCCTAATGAGGGGGAACTCATTTGATTTTAGTGACAGGGAACTGATTATACTGACTGGGAATTCATGTTACTCTAGTGAGAGGGAACATATATGTTTCTAGTGTCAAGAATTTATTTGATATGTTTTGAGGTGTGATATCAAGTGCCTTTTGACTGACATCGCTTTATAAGTGTATGTGGTTCCTAATTAGGTAACTGCAGATATTACAACTGAATTCAGCATTCATGGTCACCATACATACACCAAAGCAAAAATGGTCATCTTTACTGACATTTGTCATTGAATTATCATAGTATACCAAGAATAATAGAATATTGATCTAAATGATCTTTTACTGTTTCCAGAACATGTTGTATTAATGAAGAAAAGACCTGTTTCTTCAGTAAATCATTACTGGTTAGTGGGTAGAAACACTACAGTCGTTACATTAACTGTAGACCTCTGTAACATGAATGCTGAACTTGGTTAAGACTACTGCTGTTGCACTGGTAATATAGATGTTCACCATATTTCTGAGTTCCAGTCACATCTACATAGCTGCTACTGTATCCATGTCTTATGTTGCATTCGTTGTAAGGAAAATGCATGTTGCATGGTACTATTTTGTTCTTTGTAGATGGTTCCATGGGAAAATAAAACGAGAAAATGCAGAAGAATTACTTGTGCCTCCAGAGGATGGACTTTTTCTTGTGCGCGAAAGCGTGAATTACCCTGGCGACTTCACACTTAGTGTGTGTCATAAGTCCAAAGTGGAACATTATCGCATAATTTACAGTCAAAACAAGATGACCATAGACGAAGAATCATATTTTGAAAATCTAACACAACTTGTTGAGGTACATATATCATGTTTATTTCTATATTCTATTACTATGTCCAGTCTTAATATTTGGTCTTTTTCATTGTTTTTGTGCTTTTTTTTTTTTGGTTCAATGGTGTAAGATTTCCCCAGAATTTGATGTTTTCTTATGTATATCTTGAAATGTTTTTGTAGTTTGAGTTTTTCTTTAAATTTGGTTGATAGTTGCACTTTGGTTTAGGTGTAATTGATGGACTAATGTAAAAGGGTAATTGACATTTTCATTACTGTATTTAATTTTACATGTTGGTTTATAACTGGTTTCAAGTTATTTTGTAGACAATGCCAATATGTAAAATATCTCTAAAAAAATACCCACAATGAAAATGTTTCTGCTGACAAATCATGAAGACAAATCTACTGTTAGTACTAAATATGGTAACCCAATTAAACATGAGTTAGATTTGTTTATGATAGTGTTTAGAAATACTAACATGTTCTGGATGCACTTGAGATGACTTCAGTTCCATATAACTTCACACCATCATAGTTAGTCAAATCTAACCAAATAATATTGGTTTCATGTGCTATAGATAGCTTTTAGTATGTCTGTCATTGTGTGTATGCCCTTAATGGCCTTTGTGTTTTGACGATATAGCACATCTGATATGTTAGCATATAGATGTATATCCCCTTAAATAGGCCAATCCACATTGATGTCCAGATATATTTAGTTTTAAATAGGACCCAGTATATTGGGGTCCAGATATGTATTTCTCCTTGAACAGACTCCTCTATTTTGGTGTCTAGATACAGGTTTCCCCTTAAACAGGCCCCCCTATATTGGTGTCCAGATATATAGTTCCTTTTGAATAGGCCCCTCTCTATTTTTGTACCCAGATACAGGTTTCCCCTTAAACAGGCCCCCCTATATTGGTGTCCAGATATATAGTTCCTTTTGAATAGGCCCCTCTCTATTTTTGTACCCAGATACAGGTTTCCCCTTAAACAGGCCCCCCTATATTGGTGTCCAGATATATAGTTCCTTTTGAATAGGCCCCTCTCTATTTTTGTATCCAGATACAGGCTTTCCCTTAAACAGACCCCCCTATATTGGTGTCCAGATATATAGTTCCTTTTGAATAGGCCCCTCTCTATTTTTGTACCCAGATACAGGTTTCCCCTTAAACAGGCCCCTCTATATTGGTGTCCAGATATATAGTTCCTTTTGAATAGGCCCCTCTCTATTTTTTTATCCAGATACAGGCTTTCCCTTAAACAGACCCCCCTATATTGGTGTCCAGATATATAGTTCCTTTTGAATAGGCCCCTCTCTATTTTTGTATCCAAAATCTTTAAAATCTTTTTATATTGTCAGAATTGTGTGCCTCTTGAAAAAAATTACCACCTCATAGTTGATAACTGAAGTAATTTACTGTCAATTACAAATCTTTTAAATGAACTCATCAGTTTTATAAGACTGATATTTTAGTAGAGAAAGTATTTAACTGTGATAAAAGTTCTTTGATATTTTCAATGTAATGATGCAAAGTTAACATCAATCTGTTTTTTTTAATCAAGACTGACTTTACTTCAAAAACATGGAAAGAAGGGTTCAGTAGATTCTGATTAATGTTACCATATGGTAAAAGCTGTGAAATTGTACTGATAGCCTATTGATGAAAGCAGCTCATGAATATTCATTATCAAACATGTTTCTGTAAAACACTAGGCACACATGAAAGGAACTTAATTTGAAAGCCAATATATAATATTAATCTGGTATAGGGGGAATATGCATGTTGTAGGCAGTGAATGTGTGGGGCCATGGTACGGGATAGTGCTTCACGTCTTTGTCAGCTACCTGTGGTCACTTTGATGCTTATAAATGTTGTTAATTTGTTGTTGTTCAAAGATCTATGCTTTCTTTTTAGTCTTTCATTAAAACTATTGTGGTTTATTTTTTATCCATTATTTTTCATATCAATAAAGTTCCATTTGTGAAATTATACAGTATGCATTGAAATGCAAAATGTTTTGAATTTTCACGGAGTAGATTTTATAAAGTCATACATGTATTATTTTTACAAGCAGCTTTACAATTTATGATATTAGAATAATAATGTCTCTCTAAATCTGATGTAGATTTTATGTTCTGACAAAACTAATTATGATGTGTGATTCTGCAGCATTACTCTAAGGATGCAGATGGTCTTTGTGTCCGACTAATACGTCCTCTTCAGAAGAAAGGCTCCAGTTTCTCCATGGTATCTGTCCAGGACTTTGAGAGTGGAGGCTGGGTGATTCACAAACAAGACTTGGAAGTGGGCGAGTCTATAGGGAAGGGAGAATTTGGAGGTAATCTTTATTTTTCCTGTATTCAAATTATTCCACTACATTGTAGGATACGGTTAAAAAGTGAGTGTCTAAGTGTGTGTATGTCTCTGTCAGAAGTAGAAATCTTGCGTACAAGATATCAAGTGCATGTTAACAGTAAATTGCTTCTTAACATAGACTACAAGAAGGGGTGAAATATACCTGAAACCTTGTCCACTGTACTAGACCACAGGGAAGTGAGAAATGTACCTAAACCTTGTCCACTGTACTAGACCACAGGGAAGTGAGAAATGTACCTGAAACCTTGTCCACTGTACTAGACCATAGGGAAGTGAGAAATGTACCTAAAACCTTGTCCACTGTACTAGACCATAGGGAAGTGAGAAATGTACCTGAAACCTTATCCACTGTACTAGACCATAGGGAAGTGAGAAATGTACCTGAAACCTTATCCACTGTACTAGACCATAGGGAGGTGAGAAATGTACCTGAAACCTTGTCCACTGTACTAGACCATAGGGAAGTGAGAAATGTACCTGAAACCTTATCCACTGTACTAGACCATAGGGAAGTGAGAAATGTACCTAAACCTTGTCCACTGTACTAGACCATAGGGAAGTGAGAAATGTACCTAAACCTTGTCCACTGTACTAGACCATAGGGAAGTGAGAAATGTACCTAAACCTTGTCCACTGTACTAGACCATAGGGAAGGGAGAAATGTACCTGAAACCTTGTCCATTGTACTAGACCACAGGGAGGGGAGAAATGTACCTGAAACCTTGTCCGTTGTACTAGACCACAGGGAAGTGAGAAATGTACCTAAAACTTTGTCCACTGTACTAGACCACAGGGAGGGGAGAAATGTACCTAAAACCTTGTCCACTGTACTAGACCACAGGGAAGTGAGAAATGTACCTGAAACCTTGTCCACTGTATTAGACCACAGGGAGGGGAGATATGTACCTGAAACCTTGTCCACTGTACTAGACCACAGGGAACTGAGAAATGTACCTGAAACCTTGTCCACTGTACTAGACCATAGGGAAGTGAGAAATGTACCTAAACCTTGTCCACTGTACTAGACCATAGGGAAGTGAGAAATGTACCTAAACCTTGTCCACTGTACTAGACCACAGGGAAGTGAGAAATGTACCTAAACCTTGTCCACTGTACTAGACCACAGGGAAGTGAGAAATGTACCTGAAACCTTGTCCACTGAACTAGACCATAGGGAAGTGAGAAATGTACCTGAAACCTTATCCACTGTACTAGACCATAGGGAAGTGAGAAATGTACCTAAACCTTGTCCACTGTACTAGACCATAGGGAAGTGAGAAATGTACCTAAACCTTGTCCACTGTACTAGACTACAGGGAAGTGAGAAATGTACCTAAACCTTGTCCACTGTACTAGACCACAGGGAAGTGAGAAATGTACCTGAAACCTTGTCCACTGTACTGGACCATAGGGAAGTGAGAAATGTACCTGAAACCTTGTCCACTGAACTAGACCATAGGGAAGTGAGAAATGTACCTAAACCTTGTCCACTGTACTAGACCATAGGGAAGTGAGAAATGTACCTAAACCTTGTCCACTGTACTAGACCACAGGGAAGTGAGAAATGTACCTAAACCTTGTCCACTGTACTAGACCACAGGGAAGTGAGAAATGTACCTGAAACCTTGTCCACTGTACTGGACCATAGGGAAGTGAGAAATGTACCTGAAACCTTATCCACTCTACTAGACCATAGGGAAGTGAGAAATGTACCTAAACCTTGTCCACTGTACTAGACCACAGGGAAGTGAGAAATGTACCTAAACCTTATCCAGTGTACTTGACCACAGGGAAGTGAGAAATGTACCTAAACCTTGTCCACTGTACTAGACCACAGGGAAGTGAGAAATGTACCTAAACCTTATCCAGTGTACTTGACCACAGGGAAGTGAGAAATGTACCTGAGATCTGTTCCTGTGTACTAGGGAATCTTGTTCCAGGAAGGCAAGATTTGAAACCTTGTAATTTAAGATTTTGTTGTTAAACTCTGTTTCGTATCAGTTGTATGTAGGGTGAAATTGTGTAAGGGTGAATATAAACACTGTTTGGTATGATTTCAGATGTGTGTAAGGGTGAATATAAACACTGTTTGGTATGATTTCAGATGTGTGTAAGGGTGAATATTAACACTGTTTGGTATGATTTCAGATGTGTGTAAGGGTAAATATAAACAATATTTGGTTTGATTTCAGATGTGTGTAAGGGTGAACGTTAACACTGTTTGGTATGATTTCAGATGTGTGTAAGGGTGAATATAAACACTGTTTGGTATGATTTCAGATGTGTGTAAGGGTGAATATAAACACTGTTTGGTATGATTTCAGATGTGTGTAAGGGTGAATATAAACACTGTTTGGTATGATTTCAGATGTGTGTAAGGGTGAATATAAACAATGTTTGGTATGATTTCAGATGTGTGTAAGGGTAAATATAAACACTGTTTGGTATGATTTCAGATGTGTGTAAGGGTAAATATAAACACTGTTTGGTATGATTTCAGATGTGTGTAAGGGTGAACATTAACACTGTTTGGTATGATTTCAGATGTGTGTAAGGGTAAATATAAACAATATTTGGTTTGATTTCAGATGTGTGTAAGGGTGAATATAAACACTGTTTGGTATGATTTCAGATGTGTGTAAGGGTAAATATAAACAATATTTGGTTTGATTTCAGATGTGTGTAAGGGTAAATATAAACAATATTTGGTTTGATTTCAGATGTGTGTAAGGGTAAATATAAACAATATTTGGTTTGATTTCAGATGTGTGTAAGGGTGAATATAAACAATATTTGGTTTGATTTCAGATGTGTGTAAGGGTGAATATAAACACTGTTTGGTATGATTTCAGATGTGTGTAAGGGTAAATATAAACACTTTTTAGTATGATTTCAGATGTGTGTAAGGGTGAATATAAACACTGTTTGGTATGATTTCAGATGTGTGTAAGGGTGAATATAAATACTGTTTGGTATGATTTCAGATGTGTGTAAGGGTGAATATAAACACTGTTTGGTATGATTTCAGATGTGTGTAAAGGTGAATATAAACACTGTTTGGTATGATTTCAGATGTGTGTAAGGGTAAATATAAACACCAACAAGTAGCAATAAAACAGCTGAAGAAACAGGACAACGCTGCTCAGGCTTTCTTAAAAGAAGCTTCTGTTATGACGTAAGTATTGTGGTTTTTTTAGATTTGTCTTAAATCTGCTTTCTGTTTTGACCTACATTAAAGAAAAAGTTTGTCCTAGCTCTATGGCCTACACTACTTGTCACTTGAACTTCATGATATGGATATTTGTTCAGCAAGGATAAGTGATGTTGGGTGTATCAAAAGTAGGTCACCCTGACATACAATTTGACCTTTGACTTACATTCAAAAAAAGTATGTCTGAGCTTGTCTCTGGAACTTCGTACTGGTTTGTAAGGGATAGATTCCTCTTGTTGGTGCAATGTGTCATGTATCAAAGTAAGTCATTCCGACGTACTTTTTAACCTTTGACCTACATTGAAAAAGTGTTTGAGCTTTAAGTCTTACACTACTTGTCTCTGGAACTTTGTACTGGTTCTTAAGGTATGGATTCTTCTTTTTGGTGCAATATGTCATGTATCAAAAGTAGGTCACTCTGACCTAAAACCAACATTTTGATCTTTGCCCTACCTTAAAGAAAAAGTTTGTTTTGCATATATAATTTCACATTTGATGTAATCGGCAGAATCTTCATGTTTTTCAGATCACTTCGACATCCAAATCTGGTCCAATTGATTGGAGTTGTTTTAGGAGACAATATTTTGATTGTAACAGAATTTATGGGGAAAGGGAATTTAGTGGAATACTTAAGGTCTCGTGGAAGGAGTGTAATTACAAAGAAAGATCAAATTGACTTTACCACGTAAGTCTGTGATGATATTAGGAACTAGCATATAACCATGGCAACAAATATTCAGAATGTTTTTGAATCAAGAAAAATTGAAAATAAGTACATGTATATAGAAAAAATATTAGACATCTTATTCCAAATATCGTCTTAAATGAATCTTTTAGAAGTTGTGGAATTTTCATGTTTGGCTGTATTTTGAATGAAATACAGTTCATGTATGTACCTAGTTCATATTGTATATCAAGTGACACGTTGTTTATTGTCTTGATACTTATGAAACAGAATGGATTGTCTCATGTATAAGGTATCATGCTCTTTAACTGTCAAGAAAAATGATGAATTTAGCTTGACAATGGTAACAAGTGTTTTATCCCTTCATTTACAGAGATACATGTTCAGCTATGCAGTATTTAGAAAGTAAGAATCTAGTACACAGAGATCTAGCAGCCAGGAATGTGTTGGTGAATGAAAGCAATACAGCCAAGGTGGGTGAAGGGTTGGTTTGATATGATTCAGAGGTGTCTAGTTGATGACAATGATGTTAACTTAGAAAAATTCAAAATATAAAAATTACATTATAGAACAAGACCAAAATATAAAAGAAAAAAAATCTGAAAGATCTTGAGTCAAAAAATAGAGTGAGAAGTTGTAAAAAACTTGCATTTAAGGTAGGATAATGAAACTTGGTGTATACATTGATAATATGAAGACAGTGTGTAGTGTACCAAAGTAAGGGCCAGCAACTGCTTAACTACAATGTTCAAATTTTATGTCTGCAGCATTACTTTGCCTCCATTTAAACTAGGATATTGAAAGGTGATACATACATCAGTCATACAAAGGCAAGGTGTAGTGTAGCAAAGTCAGGGCCCATGACCCTTCAGTATCAAGTAATTGCCTTTTGTTTAAATTTTGTGTCATGAGTATATTTGTGCTTGCATGAAAACTAGGCGCATAGAACTATGTGTATACATTTGACATACTAAGAGAATACAGTAAAACCCCACTTACTTGAACTCGCATTCCTCGAATACCCCGTATTCGTCGAACTGCCCACTCGGTCCCTACCGTTTCCTTATATATTATATGTTATAAAACCCCAGATTCCTCGAACCGCTATTTGTTGAATACCCCCTTTTTGTCGAACTCATATTTATCCCCGTTCCCTAATATTACCATAGTATATTCCCATGTTTTCATCGAACATGTAATCCACCTGTGTCACACTTGACTGCTTTAACGTGAGCTGATTGGCTCAGATCACTGTCATGTGTTTTCACAGGTGTGCGACATGACAGCAGCCAATTAAAGGATTAACGACAGGGTAACCTGCCTGTGCTGATACTTCACACCTTATGCAGTAATTTTATCATTAGCTTGACTTAAAAAATTGAATAATATTGTTACATTATACCAGAAGTTTTATTTCAGTAAACCAAATTACGAAATGACACACTAATAAAGGAACAATTTTCTACTGATGTATCGTTGTAACGACGTCGATACAAGACTCCGTCAGTATTCAATCAGAGACTTTTTACAATAGTTCTGGGTATTGATTCCGAAATGTATGAGATGTTTCGCTTCTATGAGACTTCAATCAAGTGTTATTGTTCATTAACGGATCGATGACTACTTACTATGACCAGAGACGTACCATCGAGGTACAGACTATATCTCACACACAATCTACATTTTGACCAACCTCTGATTATTCGAATACCCTGTATTCCTCGAACTATTGACACAGGCCCGAGGATTTCGACTTAGCAGGGTTTTACTGTATATAGTATACTAAATTCAGAGCTTGCAACACCTTGATTACAGAATTATTGCCCTTTGGTAAAAGTTTGTGTCCAATAAAGTCGTTTTCAGGGGGGAATTAATCAGTTTCACTTATACTCTTGTCTAAAAATTTAAATTGTTGATATTTTAATAGTTCATTGTAGAATTTACAGGCACTTATAGCTGCCGACAGTTTGTCTGGGACCTGACCATTTTTCTGATTTATTTTCACAGTATTGTATGATTTTATTACAAGGCTGTTGCATTTCTGATGTGTTATTAGGTATCTGACTTTGGTCTAGCCAAACATGGAGATTACACACAAGAGGGGGGCAAGTTCCCCATCAAGTGGACAGCTCCAGAAGCTTTGAAAGAAAATGTAAGTAAGCCTGGTCTAAATTAGTGTAGTACCTGTATGGGTTTATTAGAATTAAGATTAAGAGAGCAAGGCTAAAATTTGTTTGTTTGATTAACCAAGATATTCCTTAGTAAAGTATTTGATGGATTTATTTAAAGTGTAATATTTAGATTAATCTAAATAATTGATTTTCTAGGTTTTATTATGCCTCCCCTTTAAATAAAGGGAGGGAGACCTGTTGTTTTAGTGCTGGTTCTTCTGGTCCTTATTCTGGTTCTTCTGATACGCTCCAAGTCCAGGCAATAACTTTCGAACTGTTGAAGATATTTTGAAAGTTGCTGTACACCTCTGTTAGCTAAAACTGATGTGCAATACATTGCAGTAAGGTCACTGTGACCTAGAACTCAAGGTCAAAAGCCAGAATATTCATTCAACGAATGGTTTAACTTAGAACTGATGAACTCCAGCAGAAGTATTATAGTCAAGTTAGCGATTTCAGTAACAGTGCAATGTTCTGTAGATACATGGTTGTTGAGAGAGGATAAATCAAAACACCTGTTCATTAAATACCTACAAAATGTGATGAATATTTGATATTCTGCTTGCTTTTGTTTTAAACTCCTATTAACCACTTGTAATGAAAAACATAATGTTATTATATGTGCAAAAATTGCTATTTCTAGTATATATACTTGTGGATAACAAAGCTACCAAAACTTGCCAACATTTTAGCAGTAGCACAGCGTCAAATAAAATTAATGATTGTGAACAAAAGCAGTAAATAAACATATTTTCTGGAAAGGGGAGACGTGTTTTTCTTCATCAAAACAGATCTCTAGTTTTCATTACATTGATTTTATGTGTACTCTTAATCCCCAAATTCTGATGTCCCTAAACTGTTGAAATAGATATAGATAGGTTTATTGATCTTCATTTATCCATGAAATCATATGTCCACAACATAGTACTTTTTCCATGGAAATTGAGCTCCATGAAAATATAATTTTATACTAACTTAAACTCATTCATCACTAACTTATAGATGAAATTCTATTACATTTTAAAAATATTAGAATCAATTAACTGAAACTTTGTGAATTAACAACACCTATTTTTTTTGGAAGAAAGAGAACTGTTTAAGTTTCAATCTTCTGTTCAATTTCTATGTGAGGGTATTCACTTTGTACATGAACAGCTGGTTTTTAAGTGTTAAGCTTTGTTTTCATTTTTCTAACAGGAATTTTCCAGCAAATCTGATATGTGGAGCTTTGGTGTATTAATGTGGGAGATATATTCTTTTGGAAGAGTACCATATCCTAGAATTGTAAGTATATAAGTAAGAGGGAATTATTGGTAATATATCTCATATTTGAAAAATTTTGCATCATGGGTAATATAGCATAGTGTCATAGGCAGAAATAATGAAAAACCTGTTTTTCCCCACAGTTGTTAAACTAGTGTCCTTTCCTAATACTCTTTCACCTGAATAAAGTTCAATTCCACCTGGTCATTCATTTTATTGTTGGTATGTAGCATGTTTAAATGTATCTGTTTGTGTGTGTTACAGCCGTTAGCAGATGTTGTGACCTATGTACAGCGTGGATACAGGATGGAGGCTCCAGAAGGCTGTCCAAAAGAAATTTACCAAATTATGCTCAGCTCCTGGGAAATTGAGGCTGTCAAACGACCTTCATTCGAAGAAGTTTTAGACAAACTTAACCATTTGAGATCCACGACTGTATAGCAACGTTGCAGTATGAGTGTCATGATTCTGGGACAAGCCATGCATTGGATACTGAGAGATTTAATCCTCCATGGGGCATAACTCTGCAAGCCAAAATCAAATCTCTTGTCTGCTGGTCATGCCAGCATTGGCCAGCAGTTAGTCTATATTTGTCTCTTCATCATTAAGATACATTTTATTTTCACTATTTGCAGTGGAGAAAAGAGTACCACATTGCCTTATTATAAGTGATGTACACTGTTGTTTGTTGTAGCTGTGTCAGTGTATACCTTATGTGTGATTCTACACTAATCAGTGGCTGCATTCCACTGTTATTCAAATACTAGCGTGGACATTATTTTTGCTTCAAGTGTCTGCATCTGTAATGGGAATACTAATAAAACATCTCTGTTTTGATATTCTACATGGTTATACATTTATTGAAAATGTCAAATTCAAATGACATTTCCTAAAGTCTGAATTTTTTACCAAAATTTGCTTTAGGATTATCTGCAGGTCTGAAGCTTATATCCAAGCACAATGGAAATGTCACAATATTTCATGGCTTTATGTTATATCATTCATCAAAAACGGTCACCAGATTTTTCTCTCTATGGGGGAAAATAGTTGGTGTATAAAAATATTAATTTGATTTGCTTTCTTAAAGGGAAGAAAAGCAGCAAATAAACCAGCAAAAATTCCTTGCTGATATGACAATTGTCTTAAAAATTGTAAGCTGGAGTAATTTGGTACAGAATAATTCCATGACTTTTCTCAGACTGAAATGCCTTTTTATGTTTAAAAATATGCATTAATTCTAGAGATTCAAATAAATATAGTGCACATATTTACATATTAATAATTATGTATGAAGTTATATCAAGTTATTATATAGATATCATTGAACATTGATAATGTGGCTTTATCTCTGAAAGTTTTCCTATATGCAGAAACATTATCTTTTATCATTGAAGTTACAGTCATCTTAAATAAACATGGAAGAAAGATTACAAAATATTTGGAAAAAATAGTCAAGAAACACTTTGAATTGGAAATAACCATAATGCATAGCATAGAACTTCCTTACTCTGAAAACCATTTCCTGAAAAAGTCTTAAAACTTGATTAATGTGTAAATGCGAGAAAGAAAATACTGTTTTAATGTGACTGATGATTAGGTTCGTGCCTATAATTTTGTACCGGTTATAGAGAGAATGAAATCTGTGATTTTACAGTGTTAATAAAATACAAATTGTAGAAATGTCAGGCAAAAGTGTTTTTGCATGTCTCTTATTGTTGTCGTGTATGAAAACGGGAATGGACTGGTACCGTAATTTTTTCTTACATTTCTAATATATATATATTTTGTGAATTAGCTTACATTTAAAACATCATGTGTGTATACATTTATTGATAATCTGAAATTGGTTTCTTTATTTATATTGTCACTTGAAGCTTCAGTTTACTTCATTCTTCATAATTCAGTAGAACTCTTATTTCTGAGACTTTGAACTTTACACTCTTTTAGAGAATATTTAACTTTCAATTCTGTTGTTTTCAAGAAACTTGGTTTTCTGGTTTCAATTCTGTTGTTTTCAAGAAACTTGGTTTTCTGGTTTCCTGTGATTTAAAGCTCCATATGACAAACATCATGTTCAGAAACTGTGGCAATTTTTTAGTGGCAGTATGTATTATTTTTGACTAATTCTGAATGACAATGTATGTAGTATTTGATGTCCTACCAAATGCTTGTACAACTACCCTCTTTTATACTACATTACAGAAGATTTATATTTAGCTTATGAATCATGTTAAATTTTTGCTTTTTGAGAACGGTTTAAATGTTCAAAAATTTGATACAAGGCCAACTTCATTTGTGTATATCACCACAGCGTCCTAATGATGTAAATGAATTGTCACAGAACATAGCCATATGATAACTCAGTCATCTTGAAACGGAAAATTAAAGTTTGTTAATGGATGAGATTAGATGAGAGATTTCAAGGAACCTGATGCGTGTTAGAAGTTGGTAATCCATGGAGCCCTGAGATGTTGCCTTCAGATGGCTTTCCGGTCCCATTTTATGTATAATACACTACGTAGCTTTGTAAAAATCATGCAGTGACTTTGTAGGAGATGATAATCAATCAATGTCTCGTTGTGATATTTATGTGACTGAATACCAAGTCTAAAATAGACCAGATTTTCCTAAATTATGACAGTACACTAGATATTTGATCTATTTTTGATAGATGATGAAATGAGGGGTTTGCTTTTGGTGGTAAAGTTTAACTGTATGCATATTTTGTTTGTTTTAGATTGGTTTCTTTTATGTTTAGCTGAAGATATGGTGTAAGTCGTTTCTCCATCTCATTTTTTTTTTCATTATGTGAGTATAATATTCCACCCGACTGATCTACACCTTAATTAGGGACCATACATGCAAAACACAGAGAAAGGACCAAGCATCAATTTGGAAGTTCAGTAAGGTTAAAGCCCAAGAATTATAAACAACTCTATTGCTATCATTGATATCAATTTATTTTAGTTAATTATGATAAAATTTAGGTCATGTGACCAAGAAAAGTACATACTTTTTACATGTATAAACTGTCTGGAGGTGCTGCTAGCATCAGAAAAGCTTGATAAGTGAAGATCATACGCTATTACCGTGAATATATATGAAAAAAAGTTCTCTATATGTATCATAGAAGTGTATTAATATTGGGAAATCATATTCATACAAATACAAAAAATATTGAACATCCCATCCCCACCCTAATAAATATGGTTTACACCAGGAAAAGATTAGCCTATGTTCAGCACTGCTAGATGTAGTTAACTCTCTTATAATATTTTATCTTATTTTAACCAAGGGTATACAATGTACTGGTTTTAAGTTTTAACCAACAATAAAGGGTTTAATAAAACAATTGTTTGCTAGCTTCAGATTTCTCACCATGGTGACAGTTGCTAGCTTTGAATTTCTAACACTGATGACAGTTGCTAGCCTCCAATTTCTCACCATGATGATAGTTGCTAGCCTCCAATTTCTCACCCTGGTGACAGTTGCTAGCCTCCAATTTCTCACCATGATGATAGTTGCTAGCCTCCAATTTCTCACCATGATGACAGTTGCTAGCCTCCAATTTCTCACCATGATGATAGTTGCTAGCCTCCAATTTCTCACCCTGGTGACAGTTGCTAGCCTCCAATGTCTCACCCTGGTGATAGTTGTTAGCCTCCAATTTCTCACCCTGATGATAGTTGCTAGCCTCCAATTTCTCACCCTGATGACAGTTGCTAGCCTCCAATTTCTCACCCTGATAATGGTTGCTTCTTATTCTAATTAGTATTGCAGGAATAGAGTTCTCCCCATAGATAATATATTGTTCCTTAGTTATTGTTTGTGTACAGACTTCACAGCACCTGATATGAATTCTCAGTGTTTTTGATGACTCAATAATTTTAAACTATGGATTGGAAACTTCTGTACATTTCAGCTTGTTATAAAGACATCACAATTTTGTTTTGATATATACATTTCCGGATAAATACTCTTTGTTTTATTTTCTATAGACATTCAGTTTTCTAGACTGAACCATCAGGGTAGACATCAAATTCTGCAATACTTGGGCTTCAGTCTTGACATATGGCGATGGTGGGAATGTGAACACTTTGCTTTGATGAAATTTAATCCTTGGTTTTGATAGAATGAATACTTGACTTTTAACAGACATTAGAATCTGCAAAAAGTCATTTGGATTTTAACATTATTTCTCCAGGTATGTAACAGGTGTTTGAATTACATTAAAATCAAAGAGGGATAATTTAAAATTGGAATCCTTTGCCCACTTATTTTATCATTTTTTTTTCTTTGTAAGCTTTTCAGGTGTTTTGATCCCTTAGGAAATGCTTAGCCGTTAGCTGATGTTAGTGGTGTATCGTAGATTGGGTGGAATATGGTAAATTATCAATCTGTTATGCTGCCAAAAGTTTTTAATGTTACGTTCTGACATATCATAATGTAAACACATTAGTTGATTTTATTATTTTTTTTTATATAAAACTACATCATTCAACTGCTGATGGTTTGTAAATATCCTGTTATAATGTAACATGTGTAATACCAATAAAATACTTAATTACATTGCCTTATCTCTGGTTGTCTTGATATTAGGTATGAGATTGCAAAAAAGGTGACAGTACTAAATATATAAAAAAAATAATACCAATGACAAGGGACTGAACAAACTAGAAAATTGTTTTTGGCATGTGGTTCAGTATTTAAACAATATGCTGTGCTGAAAATGATTTAATTGCTAAATGTACCTTCTGATTTGAGTGTGGAGTCTGTTTGGAAGGTTGTATATTTCTGATCTTCTGTAACGGATAATAGTGAACTTTCCAAGTGAAAAGTTACCACAGTGTAACCAGATAAAACAGTTTTTGACACAATGCTGAATCACTTAGACCTATACAACCATCAAACTCACCTCAGGGAAGCAAAACTTGTATAATTTACATTTCAAGTTCCTCCTTTCAACAGAGGTGGTGGGATCAAAGGACTGCATCTGTATTTAGTCACTGAACCTTTGTTATAACATTCTACAGTGTTACCAGGTACGATCAGACATGGAATTAGAGGTATTTTCCAGCAACATTATTAATGTGCAAATCAGAATCACGACGAAGATGCAAGATCATTTTGAAATTTCCTTTGTCTATAAACACTTAATTTCTGTTTGGAGTCATTTGTCAGTTTGGGACATTTCTAATCATAAACTGGACGAGATTTTTACATGACCCATATTAGAATGGATAATGATAAATGTTACGACTCGTTGTCTACATGGTAGTGGTTTATAAAGCTTTCATATATTAGCACCATCTATAGCCTTGGCACCTATTGGTTGACATGGTTTACAGTAGACTTGAGTCGCACAGCAGACAGATTTACAACAAACAATTTTTCATCCTTTTTTTAAAAGCAGCAAAGAGGTCAAATGAAATTAAAGCCACGAGAAGACCAAATTACAAACTTAAAACTAATACAAATGAATTTCTATTAATTTGTTTAGCCTCGTGTTCAAATTGAACAATATCTATCCCAGAAAACAGGGTGAAATAGCATGATTGATTTTCAGAACTTAAACAGGAATTATGTGTCTTTAGTGAAAAATAATCTCCAAAGAGGATTTATACACAAACGGGAATGTAAACAAGTTGGCTGTAGAAATATATACACCAAATGGAATAGCAATTAGTAAATTTGATAAATGATGAGATAGAAAGGAAATAACTTCAAGTAAAAACACGTGATCATCCAAAAAAATGCCAGCTGGTATGTGAACGCAGCGGCTTAAAATATGAGCACGGACTCAGTGATTGCCAGACTTTGCAATAAGCCAAGAAAATGTTGAATTTATGAAGGGTTATCGGAAGGTGGTTTCATCAATTAAGATGATATTAACTGAAAAGAAAACGACACTAGAATGTCCCTGTAAAGAATACCGCATCACCCTGACATTCGGTGCAAAGATAAGGAATAGCTTGATAAGACAAACATGTGTTTGCGGTTATATGACCGTCCCAAAGTTTTTGTTACCGATCCTATTTTCAACATTTTGGCAAAAATGGGGTACTGTATAATCTCCATGTTGAGTTGTCTCCCGTGGCAAATTAACTCTTAGATATATAATTGGACGTCTAGTATGTATAGTCTATTCATAAACAGACTGATGGTGGTCACCAGACCATCAAAGGCAACTGGAACGTTGTTTCAATTTTATCATTTTGATTGGTTTTTTTTTTTTTTTAAACTTCATACATGTATTTGTGAGATTGTCAACTTCTAATATCAAATGTATATTCAGAATCTACTTCTCCGTAAGTACTTAATTTTGAAATTCAGAAAAAAATGTGGAGACCAAAACCAAGTTTGTGCATTTGTTTATAAGACTAACCTGGCCACTGTTGTAACATTTACTTTATTTTCGTTTCCATTCCAAACAAAACGAAAGCTGTAAAGCAATGTCGTGGCAAATTGAATCCAATCAGACAACTGCGAAGCCGACCGACCTCCTGCGCGCGACAACTGTCGAAATAAGCGCTGGTTCCTCATAGTGAAAAATTGCGTACTTCGATATTTTTTTCTTATTATGAAATAATCGCAGTAAAATAACGTACTTAAAAGAGAATTATTTCACCAAAAGTGGATTGACATTTTATAAATTACAGCTAAAACCAAAACATTCCGGCGCGCGGATCAGAGATTACAGGCCATCAGTGTTAAAAATTAATTAGTTCATCTAGTGTATTTCTACTACAATATCGACCTAGAAATTAGTCCTTTATGGATTTTGTGTTGAAGAGATTCTAATATTGTTGTATGACATGACACCTCAATTACAATGTAAATATTTGATATTTCAATGGGATGTTCCAGCACAGGTTCCGTTTTCTGTCGATATCCGCCATTACACTAGATGTTAAAAAACTACTGGAAATGTTCATGTCATGTCTAAAATAACACAACATTAAGTGAAGTCTGTATCGCTGTAATCACTCATTGTTGTATTATAATATGATGTAACTGTTTATGCTGATTAGCCGAAATGCTAAAGGCCAATAACACTGTTATAACTATTAAAGTCATTAACGTGTTCATATTGAAACAGCAGTGGTCAGGCGAGTCTATTGTATGGAATTCCACTGTGCCAAAACACAATGAATTGAACATCAGAAGTAGACAAGGACAACAAAAAAGGAAAATGTCAAGAATGTTACAAACAAAAAAAAAAAGGAAAACGTATTCATGTACAGCTTGTATAGAGGGCTACAAATTTTTTTATTTAGCATTATGAACTTTAAAATGAATGGATGTTTTTAACATTTATAAATTAGTGTTGTTTTGTAACATTAACTATAGTCTCCAACAGCTGTGTTAAGAGTCGCTTTCGTCATTTTATTTTCTGTAATCTTTGATCGCGATTGTAATATGTGTATATATATGCAAAAGGTGAGAATAAGTATCTGTATCTTTCATGCATTTTATGCATGAGCCTGTAGCATGCTGGGATGAAGGCTACCAAGGTTGTTAATATGAATGGCATTGTTTTACTTTCAAGGTCACAGGGGTAAAATTGTTAAAATCTTTAAACAACTTCTTCTCAATAACCAAAAATACCCAAGGCGGTGATATTAGGCACGTAGGATGATGGGATGAAGGAATACCAAGTAGTTGATATTAATTACATTGACCCGCTTTCAAGGCCAAAGTGATCAAAAATGTTTAAATCTTTAAACGATTTCTTTTCAACAAAAGGCCAAGGATGCTGATATTGGGTCTGTAGCATAAAGAGGTGAAGAGCTACTAAGTTTGTGAATAGGAATGACCTTGATCCACTTTCGAGGTCACATGAGTAAAATGTGTTGAAATATTCAAACGAGTTATTCTCAGTTATCAAAAGGTCAATGGTGCTGATATTGGGTCTGTAGCATGTTGGGATGAAGGACTACCACGTTTGTTCACCATGACCTACTGTCAAGGTCACAAGGGTCAAATGTGTTGAAATGCGTTAGCAACTTCTCAATAACCAAAAGACCAAGGGTCTTGATACTGCACCAGTAGCATGCCTTGGAACAAGTAATATGTCCGAAGTAATGGCAAAGTTGTGTAGTGCATGTATAAAGAATATGATTTCAAGTTTGCAGAAAATGTCTTTATGAACTAACCAATGTCTTTTATGTAAGCTGTAGCGTAGTAAAGCAATTTATTTTAGGCCTACTTCGCTTCTTTCATATATAGTCAGATGAACCTTAAGGCACGTGGGCCTCTTGTTTCTGAATGTGATAACTCTGCATTGCTTTGGTGGATACTGGCCACTCGTAAAAATCAGTTAAACAGCATACGTATTCTGATAGATTGTGATATTCAGCATGATAAACAAACTACACACATGCGACACTTCTACGTACCAGACACATGGATATAAACCATTTCCTTGTCAGTATTCGGTTCTTAAGAAGTCAGTACCAAAAGCAAGCAACGATTTTTTTAAATCCCTACCTACCGAGCCTGTTTTTTTAAGCAGAGACCGGAAACCTATTTTTATGGGAGCTTAAGATTGTTGCTTGTATTTACGTCTATTTTATCGATACAGACGGCTCTCCTGGACCGCACGTGCTCCCGTTACACTGGAGCAGACGACACTCCAGATTGTCCGCGACAAAACCAAAAAATGACGGTTGTCAATCCCACTTACTTACACAGTGCTTGTGGGTGACTAGTTATCGGCGTAGGACTTTTACTGCATATTGATCTGTACCAGAGAATGTCACACAACAAAGCTTGGTGAGTTTAAACGCTACAAACGCTTTTATACTGCGACATTTTCGGAATAGTGTTTTTTTGTGTATTGACATTTTGACAAGCTGCCGGTCGACACCGTGCAAAATTATTAAATAAAATACAGCATACGCCAAGACGCTGGATGATGTAGTAAACGACAGCTCAGCTAAGGTTAGCTGCTGATCCGGCTGGCAGATTAGGCACGAAACATCTCCATTTTTCGTGTTGGTAGTCTGGAAATTTATTTCAAATTTCTGTGAATTCATAGGATATCTAACACATATATACAGCTGTCATGGCAACACCAAATACCTTCAGATGGAAGCTGTCGGCTGTGACGATTGTAATTTATCATTAAGGTGAGTGTTTTCAGTTACATTTGTAAACCGAGAATAAATGTTGCTTCTGTAGACATTATTTTAAGTCAGTTCGGCGATGATGGTTTTGCACCTAACGAACTATAACTGGGCACTACCTGTTCACAATGGGGCGTTTCACGTTGCTAGATCGGCTCCAAAATACATATACACAAGTATTCTCAGATTTAACTTTTTCAAACTTCATTTTTCCGCTTATTGCACTTTCTGTTAATCGTTTTGCACTTTACGAAATCTTGTTTGACTTATTTCACTTTCCATAGCTTATTTCTTTTTCAACACTTACCATTAGTTACCATCGTGTTCCGCTTATTGTACTTTCTGTATCACATTTCCCCACTTACACTTTCTGTTTTACCTTTCCTGTTTTGTGCTTTCCATATATTTTTTTGCGCTTTTTGAGATTATTCTAATCGTACTATC